GGTAAAACGCCCCCCTGGCCACAGCCGTCAACTGGTCTTCCAGTGTCAGCCGTGGATCCAGGAGGACCCCCAGATTGCGTACCCTCTCCGAGGGGGCCAAAATTTCGCCCCCTATAGTCAGCGATGGAGTCAGCTGACCATACCTTGGAGCCGGCAACCACAGCCACTCCGTCTTGGAAGGGTTGAGCCTGAGTCTGTTGGGACACCTTTGGGACAACCGTGACCTGAATGACAGAAAATCTCCATAGACATTTACTAGTGGGAAGTTTCTGTGGAGAAGTATGTTCACTGATTTCCCTTTTTTCAAAAGGCAACTGGATTTCTAATTTTTGCTTGAAGCCATTTCGGTTCTCATCCAAGAAGCCTCTTCAGTTCTCCCTTTTGCCCATCTTTGGGATAACCATGACCTGGATGTCTGAGAATCTTCCAACCATGACCTGGATGTCTGAGAATCTTCCACAAACTTAAGTATTTATTCCATTTCTGAAGACCCAAGTCTCAATCCAACAAAATGCCTGCACTTATGTGTTTCTTATCAAATAGCAGCCTTGGATAAGGATAATTTTGATCCGGATGACAACATGCAAAGAAAACTCACATATACCCCTTTTTTTCTTTTTAGTTACTGTCTGGAAAAAAACATTAGAGAGACATTTTGATTCATACTATGCTGCCCTGTTATAATGTATAATTTGGCCCTAAATTAAAGAGATTCATTCCATGAAGTAATGCCTCATATTTAAGGTCAATTTATAAGATCACATGAAAATCTCCTTTAGATTAACTTCCAGCCTACAACGAGATATGCCACCTGAAACTGTTTGAATGTCATTACATTGTGGTGGTGATGTGGATATCCTGGTCACATTCTACTGTCCACTGACACTGACCTCAGCACAAAGAGGATTTCAAAGTAGTTTTCTATAGTTGCAATGAATATCCACGTGCAGTTATCTTATATTTGAGTTCTCAACAAAAGAAGTGCAAAATATTGCAATGCATTGCTGTGCATTTTTCTCTAACCTTTCAGAGGTCAACAGAAAAATAACGGCAACTTGTTGGCTACAGGATTAACTCTGCATCATCTAGCATTAAAAATGGAAAGATCAAATGGAAATATCTTTTGCAAAGATTAATTTTTAATTCCTTTCCATTACCATATATATTCAGAAACAATAGTAACTCTTCATAGAAATTATGACTCCACTATAGTTTGACCTCTCTAATAAATAGATCTGTCTGGATTATGAACAAGTAATGTGCCCAAGCCATTAGAGTTTGCCTAGGGGCAAAGAAATTGTCATCAGTAAACCAACCAGGACTTAGCATATATCAATTCCAATAACTATAGAAAAACAAGACAGGGCAAAAATGAGAAGCAATAGAGGAAAGCTAAATAGAGAACTAATGGCCCAGAAAAAGAGTGTGGAGAAATTTCATCGTGCAAGAAACACTGGCAATGCTGAGTAATGCTTAAGACTATCAGTTCTTTTGCCTACCTGAGGTACCCATTTTGAAGAAACAAAACTTGTCACTTCTATGACAGACAAGCCAGTTTTGGAAAGTTGATCGATGAGCTCAATTTTCACATCTGTAGGAAGTATAGCCTGCAAATAAGAAGAAATATCATTTCTGTACAGCACAATGCCATGTGTTAAGAACATCTTAGATCCAAACACAAAACATTTATAATGCCATAAAACAAAATGTAAAAATCACCAATGATGTTTTAGGTTATTGGGCCCAGATGCTCTTTTCTTAGTCAAAAGGAAACTAACACACATCCCCAGGAAATAAGTTGTAATACGTACTACTGTTGGCTCTTCCTCAGAGTCTGCAATATCTGTTTAATACAAGTGACACAGTCAGATGGAATAAAGACTATGGATAGCACATGTTTGGGAATACAAAACATATTTTTCTGACTATTACAGTAACTGGCATTGCCCCAACCAGTTCAAAGCAGAAAGTAAGGCTCTGTTCCCAAGAGTTTACTATTTAAAGCCTCTGAGACTAAGAGAAAGAGAGGGATGGAAATGTAATACATTTATGATAGAAGAAACATGAGAAAATCATTTAGTCATTAAGTAAGACAAAAGAAAGCTGCTGTCACTATTTCCATTGTCATGAAAATAGGGACCTCACATTCTACAAATGGATTTTTAACATCCCAACCTTTAAGTAACTTCCCTCTTCCTGCCTACTCAAATATACACCAGGAATGTTATATGGAGTGGCTATGGAGGAAAAAGCACCACTTCCTTAATTTATATAATTTATGTAACTACTTATGGAGGAAAAAGACTGATGATAACATTGTGATATTCCAATATATGCACTGGTTTTATCTGCTTGTACTTGTGGTACAGTATCACTAAAACACTCCAAGACATCAGTTTTATACGTAAATTCAACTACTGGGAACTTCATGGGCACATGTAAAATTTATTTACTTATTTGTTTATATTAGATTATTATCTCCCTTAATGTATTACTTTATAAGCAAATCAAGGTAGTCTTTCCTCCTCATATTTTCACAACAACCTCAATCCTGTGAGGTGGCTTGGGCTGAGACGGCGTGACTGGCCCAAGTCCCCCAGCCAGTTTTCATGCCTAAGGCAGAACTAAAATTCACAGTCTCCTGGTTTCTAAGCTAGAACCTTAATCATTATACTGAACTGGCTCTCCAGTTACCAAACTTCCAAGATTCTTGTAACAAAACAGAAGCAGTTTGCATTGCCTTCTTCTGCTTGTTTTTCTGCTTCTCAGTCCACCTACAGCTCTACCATCTCCCATCCAAGTACCAACCAGGTCCAACCCTACTAAGGTTTTTGAGATCAGCTCAGGCTGACTAAGTACTTCACCAACTGCCCTATGATTTTTGTCACATCAGTACCACTTGGAGTAGCTTTCATCTCAAGGCTATGTTTTTCATATTTAAATGTTGCATGAGCTTTAAGGCACATGTTTCTACGTGGCAAAATTCCAGATAATAGGTCGGGAGGTTGAAGAAGACAGGGAGAGAGATATCAAATCACATGGGAGAAGACAGTGCACAGGTCTTTCTGATTTCACGAGGAACTTTTTTCCTTACAAATTAATAATTATATGGGGAAAACCCATGGGTTGGGCACCAGCTAAGTGACAAACATGAAGTTATATGGAATGTCACCAAAGGGAAATAGCTTCCATATGGATTGAGGCTTGTAAAGACATTTTGTGAGGTTCTCGCAATTAATATAATATGCCAGAGTCCTTTTCTTAATATAAAGTTGCTGTTGTATATTGTACTACTAATTGATTTCATACTGATGCTATTAAAATACATAACCATCTCAATAAGATGAAACGCCCTCATTGCTTTTCCTTTTGTTACAATTAGTCATTTTTGTTGATACTTTAAAGAGGAAAGATCTTGAAGACAATATTAATGCAATAGCTAGAATATTACCACAGTAAGTACTAAAAAAATGCTTACAACAAGAGATTAATTAATTAATTAATCTTAAATTTTAAAACATCACAAGAGAGGGGGATAGAAATCTAAACTCTGCTGCCTTTTATAAATTGTTGTAAACTTTTAATGGCATGATCAATTATTTGGGCTTAATTAATACAATATTGTCTTCCTCAAAGATTCACTCTCCCCATTGTTAACATACCTTTTCATTCTGTAATCCATCTCTTGGACCAACTTCCACTATTTTAACAAACTCAGGAAATCCACTTGTAAGCAATTCCTGAAACATAATATGAAAGATTTGTTAGCACATGAAAGATTATAGTTTGATCTACACTAAGGCTCCCTCCTTAGGGATTTGCATACAGTTTGTTTTCATACTAGAAACAGGTTCAGGAATGTTAAAGGGGGAACAACGAAAATTATCTTAAAGAATCGTTGCAGAATGTCTTTTCATCATCATGGAAATGTTTCCTTGCAGATTAGGATCAAACAGCCAGGATTCTAAAACATGATAGTCTTTTTCAAGAAACGGTGAAGCCGAACCCTGCTCTTATGAGAAAATAAGAAGAGGATCAACTTGATCACAGCCAGTTGCTCCTAACGTAACTTTTACATTTTCAAGAAACTGATTTTCATCTAGTTTGGGAATAATTTATATCAGCAACTAGCAACATTTGCATAAAATCTGTATTCCAGATGCTAATCCTGTGATCAAAGGAGAGTAAAGATGAAATATGGTTATGGAAATGTAATCTTCCTTGGAAGGCAATTTGGAAAGAAATTTTTTGCCATTCTTTCCTAAACAAAACTCCAACAAATTAGTTACCAATCAAGGCACTAGATCAGATCCATGTTTTATACATCTATGTAAGTGTGTGCATATACATATATATGTGCCACAGAGATATGGTAATGACTGATACCACTGAGTGGGATAAAGGTAGACTTTTAGAGCCAGCTTTTGTATTTCTGAACAATATTTTTGTCATTAATTGGTATAAAAAAATCTGAGGGTGGTTTGATACACTTACATTGTTTCACATCCGAGCAAAAATCAGCATGAAATTGTGCTGGCATTAATTAGTGGCTTGGCATTAAAAAAGAATCTTAATTACTAACAAAATAAATAAAAGCTCAGATATCCCAAAGGATGCTTGTTCACCCCTTTGGTAGACATAATCTAGTTATGGCAAAGTTAAGATTTCTAACTATTCAATATATAAGTACATATAATGAAAATCTGCCGAATCCCAGGACTGTTGTTTAGTCACAACTTGCAGGACACAAAATCAGTAAGCTAAATACAGAGTTATTGTCTTGCTATGGTTCTATAAAGATGAACAATCAGACTGTAGTGAACAACATGAGTGTTCAGTTCAAAGTTTTTGCCTTAATATCTAAAACACTTTACAGGTAGTCCTCAGCTGGGACCGGAACTTTCATAATTAAGTGATGCTGTCATTAAATGAATTGCATTTGATTTTACAATGTTTTTGCCACGGTTATTAAGCAAATCACTCAGTTGTTAAGCAAATCTGGCTTTCCCCATTGACTTTGCTTGTCAGAATCCCCCGGGAAGGTCACAAATGGTGATCATATGAGCCTGAGATGCTGCAACTCTCATAAATACATGCTGGCTGCCAAGCAACTGAATTTTGAAGGAGGAAGGAACTAATTCATTTACCCTTCATTTCCATTAACACCATAAAAAGAAATAGAACATATACTTGCTGAGTTTATAAGCCCATTTCAGTGCAAAGGCAAAGCTCTCTTTTGCTACATAAAGGTAAATAGTAAAGGTTTCTCTGTCTAGTCATGTCCAACTCTAGGGGGCGCTGCTCATCTCCATTTCTTAGCCGAGGGAGCCAGCGTTGTCCAAAGACATTTCCACGGTCATGTACCATCTCCTCCAATTTAGAAAGCCATTATTACTATTAATGCAAGACCTCTTCGCAGAAAGTGTGTTTTTGCGGTTTTTTCAAGACCATCAGATATTTGATCTTACAAGACAAATGGCACATGAGTGGTACAAATGCCTCTGTGAGAAATGGGTAATTGTCTCAGACCTAGTCAGAATGTATTCATAATTTTCCATCATGAGTCAAATCTGAGAATGATCACAGGCTATTTGACAACATCCACCCACACCAGCGTGCTTGGAGAAGTAAACATCACTACCATATTACTGTATAGTGTTTTACAAGTTATCTTTTGTGGAAAATCTTAATGTGCTGTTTCAATTGCCCACACATGGCTATCAGATGGCTTGGTTGTTTCTCATTTCCATTTAGTAATAATATTTCTTTTTTCTCCCATATCAGACCAAACTTCATTGTAGTAAAAATAGCTTATTTTTCTACCCCCCCAACAGTTGTATAGAAAAGACTAGAATTCAAAAGATTAAACCTTCCCACATCCTGTGATCATGAAACTGATTGGGCCTCTTGCATCTACTTTTGAATAAAAGAAAAGCAGAAGACCTGATCCTACATGTTTAATTTAATGCAGGAGTAGGAAATTATGACAATTGTATGACCTATAGACTTCAACTCGCAGAATTCCTGAGCCCATGTAATGTCTGCATTGACGCTGTGATAAATATTGGGTGTTCAACATGGTAAAGATGGGCTTATGTGGATCCTTAAGAGCTCTTTATCCATTTCAGCGTAATCACTAAGGTTGTAATAGCAGCCATTTAAAGTAAGTTCTATAGGTCTGGTGAAATTGTGGTAAAGGGCCTTCTCAAGTGAAGTATCTTCCAAATGTGTTGAAAATTCCAAATTTATAATTAGCAAAATTCCCAGGCAACCTAAGATGCATTTTGGTTTGTTTTTTTTAATAAATATTGTATTAATTTTCTAGTTTTACAATCATAAGTACTTAATAAACAACATGTTGTCTGGGTCCATTAGTAATTCAGTGGTACATATTAACTTCTTCAATCTAGGCCCAATATTACACCATCCAATACTTCCTCTCTTCTTCTGGTAGTACACATTTTCCCACACTAGGCAAATACAATTCTTATTGTTGTTAATACATATACAATTGACTAAACATCTTTGTTACATTTTCCTAATAATATCAATAATGTTGGTTTAAAATATTTTTTCTAACCAAAATATATCTTAATTGTATTTGCGCTTAATATCTATTTGTTCAATTAATATAGTTTTTCCTGCTTTTTAAAATTTTTTAATTTCCCATCAGTGTTCAAAATGTCTCTTATCGCTTATAATTTCTCATAATAAGTTATGTTTGGGTAACCAAAAGCTTCCCTCTTAGCATTTTCATATTTCCCTTCTCATACCAAAATATAATATTCTAGTTACAAATCCTATCTTTCTAGTTATAATAATACTTCTATTTCTAACAATTATCTATTCTCAGCCATGTTCAAACATCTGATTAATAGTATAATATCCCATCTGATGGGTCAAACCCTCTATTTTCTTCAGTCTTACTCTAGCTTTCTTCCTTTGCCAACTAACTTTCCAAGTCAATGCATTTGAATCATCAAGTAATTCTTCCTCTATTTTTGTGTATATTGTTTGGAATAAGAAAAACAATTTGATTAAAGTATTTTTGGAAGGACACTTAGCCCACTGATATTCATTAAACAGCCTCCCTCCTTCTCCAATTTCCCACAATTCTCCTAACAGCTCTATCTTCCATTCAATCAGCTCTTCCTTCTTATCCTCAAGTGTGTTCTGAGATCTTGACAGGTAAGATATCTTTTCCATTTCCGATATTATCGCTACGTCTTCTAATTCTTTGTTTGTCTGAGTCTGTCTGTTAGTTCCTTTCTTTAGGTCCTCCATCTTTGGATCTGCTTCCTCTGATTTTCCTTCTATTTTTTAGGTAGCTAGTTCCTTCTTTGTAGTCATTTTCTGAGTTTGTTTAGATTAAAGAATTGTTCTTTTATCTCCTTTGTGTTATTTTTAGTCTCATCATGAGCTAAGGCAATTGTCTCTTGTATTGATTTTAACATAGAAATAATTTCTTTCTGAATTCATCAACATTTTCTTGTTGGTATGTCAAGCTGGGGACTTTGGGGACAGGTGTTAGGGTTAGTTTTTTACCATTTGAAGCTAAGTATGAAACATCCATTTTGTTTTTGTATGTAGTCTTTATAGTCCAATCTATTTAGGGATTTAAAAAGTTTCAGTCAATTGTCATTTGAACTCCAAATTATCCAGCCGGCCTATCAGTCTGTCCTTAAGTCTCCCCTCAGCAAATATAAGTAAAATTCAATTTTTTCAAACTTTTCTGTCCAATGAAAAACATATCCTTTCTGTCCAGAGAGAAAAGAGCAATTAAAAATTGTTCATCAATCAAAAGTTTATAATCCAAAGTATTCCATCATCTCAATCAATAATGCATGTTTCTTCTATAGGGAAATAGCTCCATGACACAGCTCTAAATGTCAGATAGTATTTATATTTGTAGTCCAAGCAGGCCAGTTTCAAAATAATGTATTGTCTCTGCAACACAAATAAGCAGCCCAAGAGGTTCCCCCCTTTTTTTTCCAGCGGCAGTCTTCAAAAGTGAAAGTTTCTGAAAACAACAAGAGTCTTATATGAGACTCTTGGCTTCCAGCCAAGTTTCCTTTAGGCATAATAAATTGTAGTGCTTTAGTTCGCCACTAGATGTCATTGATGCCGTCTTCCAGCTTTTTACATCCAAACTTATATTACAAGCTTTTTAAGTGTTTTTTTAAAAAAAATCTCAAAAGTACTTTGAGTCCCCAAATTTCAAAGTTATATATGTGTATTGATTTCAAATTAATTTTGTAATTTTCTCTGTTTCCCCCCAAGCAATTAATTTGCCACTTTTCTTTTCCTGAGGGAATGGGGTGGAAATTCCCCTTCCCTCTCTCATCGGGGAGGATTCTTTGCTTTGGGCGGTTTTTTCCCAGGAAAAAGTCTTAAAGTCATAAAGAGCGGATAGGGTCTCACCCAGTTCCATCCATGAAAGTTGCTGGTTAATGCTTGTTTTCTTCGGTTGTCAGCAGCTTCAGACTGGCCACACGAATGTAGCCAGTCTTCCCCCCACCGCCCTCTCGCGATCAATGAGTGTCCCCTCCTTCTCCATTGCCTCTTCGGGGTGACTTTTAAGGGTCCCCAGTTGGTCGAAATTGAACGCAGAAAATGGAGCCCCAACTTCCTGTGTCCATCACGCCACAACATCAACCATTGTTTCTCCTAAGATGCATTTTGTAAATTGTTTCATCAATACAAAATGCAAGGGACAGTGGAATGCTTTGCAGAAGAACAG